AGCAAAATCACTTATTCTCTGTTCCTAGTCAGGTTTACCACCTCCTCACCCCCACAGAAGAGTGAGAGTGCACTTGAGTACGTAGATCTCTAATTGAGATACTGACTTGGTCTCTCTAGGTTGTCTCCCACCTACATATAAAAGTTTTCCAGGACCTCAGCTTTGACAGGGGCAGAGGAGCTCACTGTTCCTGTTTTCAAGCTGAGTCTGGCAAAACTCGGTTTTGGTTTTGTGCCGTTACGGTGCATGTCCATAAGTAAGCTTATGTGCATATGGCAGTTTCATATCTGGCCTGGTTTGTAGGGAACGTGGCCACCTGCATCGTTACTGCCTGTTGTCTTCGGGCATGTTACTGAAAAGCCTGGTCGTTCAAGCTATTGGAGCACCGGGGAATGTTGCTCATTGACACAATGGACCTTGCACGGGCTGCACAGAGGTGGGAGGGGGTCTGCAAGTGGTTTATCCTGTAGGTCCTGGCAGCGGCTGTTCTGAAAGGAAAGGAGAAATGCAAAGCATGAACAACTTCTGTCTTTACGAGAAAAGCCGGTCAAACTTGGTGGAGTGGCTGGAGATTGGCTTTGAGGTCTTGTGTCAACAGGAGAGTGGTTGAGATCAAACAGGAGAGCAGTCGGGATAACCTGAATCCAGATGTGCAGCAGGACAAAATGTAGCTGCAAGTCAATGGAGAATCTTGATTCCAACTTGTTTATTGTGACAGTTGTTCACTTTGAAAAATTCAAGTGTTTAAACTCTTCTCCTTTTTCAAATGTAGCATCTCTGTTTTGTTCTAGTTGTCTGCTTATGACTCATCATAGCCTTAACTTCCTGAAGAAAACTGAAAGCTTGAGGGAATTGCATGCATGTTTCCATTTCTAATATGCTGCTATTGAATACAAAATATGAAGGAAGATGTATGTGGAGTGAACATCGACGTGGCTTTTAATGGCATGATAGTTTATTTTTTTTGACTAAAACATCCTGGTTAATTAAAGCTCACTGTGATAAGCATAGAGCTTGTTGAGTGTAGGAAAATAAAAGAGGCAGGGAAATTGCTTGGGGTTTTGGGGGTTTTTTTTTAGTAGTTTTCTTCATCCGCCCCTATGATTCATTAAAATGGATGCAGGGGGAGAAATAATTGAATAAAACCTAATATTTGCCAATAGGCTTCTACTGTATGACAGTCCCAAATGCAACTTAATTTGGCTGATTTTAGTAGATTTATTGCTAGTGTCACTCCCTGACCTGGCATGAAGCAGAGGAGTCCCTGTAAGATTTGATCCAAAACCTGCGCTGGATATAACAATCTGCTGCTTCAGAGCCTTCTTTTGGGCTCTGACCATTGCTTCACCTGCCCAGATGCACGGCGAGGTTTATCTGGGCAGCTTGCAACGCATGAGGGTCTAAAATTGTATGTTACTTTGGGATATTCTCTGTTTGGAGATAACCCCACGGAGAGTGGGAAGGATGAGCAATCTGTAAACCAAGTTCTGGGGAAAATGGGACAAATACAGCTACTTGAGGCAAGTTCTGTGGGTCTCCATTTGCCAGAAGTCCTCTGTGGCCAGAGGGAGGTGGCCTTCCAGGAGAGGAAAGCAGACAAAAGCTTTCCTGTCTGCTGACCTGGAGAGCACTACCCACACATGGTCCTTCACTCTTCCTGCTTTTGCACGTCTGACCAGAGTGCGTGCACCCAGTGGTGACTGTAAGTGAAGCTCACACGCTGTTTTTGTAAGGAATGCATGTTTTCATGTGCCACGAATGGGTATAATACCTGTGCAAAATTCTTGTGGTGCAGCGCAGCGTGGCAGCATCGGTGTCTGCTGTGCAAACCTACTGCAGTGCTCAGGTCAGCTGTGGCAGAGCGCTTTGTCTTTCCAAGTGCCGTTGAGTTGCTGATGTAGGACTCAAGGCTAAAGCAACACAGAGTATTTGCCCTTGCAAGATGGGGCTTGAGAGAGGATATGATCAATGTCTGTTAGCACATCTGGGGACAAATAAGAAGGGCTAGTTAACCTAAAAGATGATGCTGGGGGAAAAAAAGGGGGGGGGGGGGGGGGGGGGAAGCGGGGAAGGGAGGGCAATGTGAGCTACAAATGTGTTCAGGCTGTGGGTTTGGAGATGGTTCCTAACTATTAGAGAAACAGATTCTGCAGCCTTCTTCCTCAGAGAGTAAGGGGTAAAAATGCTGCGACTGTTTTTAAGATAGAAGTCAATGTATTTGTGTGAATAACTTGCATGTGGCGATGCAGGCAGTAGCAGGGATTGTGTGCAATGGCCCAAGAAGTCCTTGTCTATTCCCACAGTATTAAATGAACCTTTGCAGAACATATAGCAAGCTGATACGTATGTGTGGGTGTTTATACATATTTATGTATAATGTATATAATGTGTGTATATATATTTTGTATAAAATATATATATAAAGAGGCAGTCCCTGTACCTCATTTATTAAGCATTGGTTAGCTACAATTTCTTTTTTAAATGAGCTGATTTTTGGCATCCACAGAGCTAATGAATATTCATAGTTTTTGCCAGTTCTAATTTTAGCCACCTAGAGTCTTCGTTACAGGACATGCACATAATTAAATAGCCTTCTTGAGAGTTCACAAACTGTCCTTACTCTCACCATTAACCGGTTTGAAATGATCAAAATATTTTAAAATGATCCTATAAAGCTATACCAGGCTAGAAAGGCAATATAATAAAATGTCATTCCCATAATCTCAGTGGTCTGTTGTGGACCCAAATTCTGGTCTATGGTCTCATGCACGTGACTCCCTGAGGCCAAGAGCAACTTCTTGCTGTGAAGCAGTTGTGCACCTTGCACAGCCTGGGCCACAGGACACGAGCCACATCCATCAACAGCTGGTGCCCACATGGACCTTAGAAGCATTTCAATGCCTAATTTCAAAAAGAATCTGCTCTAAGTCACAGTAAAGATGATGATAGCCCTGTAGCATCCTAATTTACCCACCGTATGCGTATGTTTCTGTACCTGTGTGTTTATAATCTGTGGTGTTCGCTACATCTGGCTAGCACAATATTATTTGTTTTTAAAGCTAGTAGGGGGCTTGTGGAGAGAATATTAAACCCAGACAAACGCGCACAGCAAGGCAGCAGTCCCTGGCAGAAGAAGCCCCGGAGGTGGCTTCTCCTCCCCAGCCGGCGCTCTGATGGCCGTGCCTGCACTCTCGCTCCCAGACCCCCAGCACAGCCTGCCGTGTGTGAGCCGTGCTCCTGCGTGGGGGCTGCGTGGCGTCCTGGGGAGGACTGTGCCCCGTCCTGGCGCTGCAGTCTGCAGCACACGGCCTCGTGCATATTGCAACCCAATGCCTGCCTGTGTCCCCCCGCAAGTGCACGCTAACAGCAGCCCAGTGCAAGGGCAGGGAAGGCTCCAGCTAACGAAATGGGGATTTGCTGATGTGAAGGCAATGTGTGGTGCAGTACATGTATTGTCTTAGAAATATGGCCACTTCTGCTATTTAAAGCAAGTGTTTTGTAAAAATTCTTCCCACTTGCCTTTATCTGGACTTGCAGCATCCTAACTCAGTTGTTTTTCTTCAAGCTGCACCACTTGTGTGAATAAAAGGAGATTTTGGCTTTCCTTGTGCACCAGCTCAGTCGACCGCAATCCCTGCAGCTTCCCTACAGCCCCTGAGGCCTTTGCTGCCGAGGGAGGAATTGGGGGAGCAGAGATGGGGGCAGGAGAGCCCCGCAGCCAGGTCTGTGCCAGCCAGGTGGTCCTGAGCACAAAGACGAGCTGCATGTGCAACACAACAGGGGAGAGACTCAGGCTAAAGTGTGCTCCGTGTCCTGTATTTTTTTTTTTAAAGCACCAATGATACGCAGACGAAGTCCAGCTCCCTTTATATAAACTTCTTGTTTTATTAAAACTAGTATTTTCACTCAAGTTTTTAAGGAATCTTTTATTTCACATGAACAAAAGCATCTTGCAGCAGGGCAGCCCCTTGGGCTGTGCAGTTTAACCATCTCCCAGCTGCTCCGGCGGCTCCCGCACCGCACCGTGCTCCCTCCACACCACACAGGCGGCCCAGCACGGGAGGAAACAAACTGCAGTGAGTGTGAAATAAAACACACATTGCTGCTGGGGGTGGCTCTGGAGAGCAGCAATAAGTAGCTTAACGTTTTTCAGGTTGGACTGCCTTGGCCTTCCTCCAGGGATGGGAGGGCAGGCAGGATCCTGCCCGTGCTGGGGCTCGTCCCCTTTGCCCCCGCTGCCTGGGTGATTCGGGCTCACATCAGTGCTGGCTCGCTGTGGCCACTTGTAGCACCGAGTGCAGCGACGTTTGGCCCTGGTGTCTCCCTGGCCCCGCTGTGACTCTCCGGACGGAGGGTTGGAGGCACAGAAACCTGTGCCGAGGTCCGGGCACGGGCAGCTGCCCCTCCTCTCCCACCCCTCTGGGGCCTCCTCCGTGCCCCTGGGGCCAGGTCTTGGGTCTGTTTGGGACTGGTGGCACCCAGGGATTTCCATCCCCAGCCATGCTGAATTTCTGTTTTCTCCTATGGGTCCCTGGCCATTTACCTCGCCACAGGAGATGCTGTGGCTGCCCACCTCCCTGCGGAGCTCATGCTGTTCCCGCAGGGAAGCCTGGGGTCGGTCCTGAAGCATCTCTCTGCTCAGCATCTAGGGCTCCTTTGCCCACTGGTGCTTTTGTCCCCCTGCACCTCTGACACTGCTGTGGCAGGTGACCTGACTAGCAAACCCGGGAGAAGGAAGTTAGTGGGCTATACTAAGAAGAAAGCAACTGATTTTCTTAAATGCTCAGATGAATATTGTTGATCAGTGTTACGACTTTTTTCTTTTTTCATCCCTCCAAGACCGTTGCTGTGAAAACCCAAGCAGCCCCTGGCCGGTCTGTGGTTGCAGTGGGGGCGAGAAGGCAGGATGCCAGCTGCAGAAGCAGGGGTGCTCCGCTGTGAAGTTCTGAGCTGTTTGTGCAGGGAGGGGCACACGCAGGTAGACTCTAATAGCTTTTTGTCTTGGTTTATAACCCAATTTCCATCCTTCGTTGCTTGCCTTCTGGAACACTTAGTGCCCTGAAAAACACCCAGGAGTGGAGAGAATTTGCACTGCTCAGCAGACTCCACAAGTGTCTTTGCTTTAACTGCTATAAAGCTCTGGTCTTTTTTCTTTTTCTTTTTTTTTTTTTTGGTAGAAAAAATTATTTTATTTTTAAACACAGCTGAGTGCTACAAGGCTATCATCTTGGCACGTATTCTCTGGGCAGCCCTGTGAAGTTTCTTCCCCTCAGGGCTTCATCTACTGTCAGGATGTATCTGTTGATAAGATCTTTCATTTCCTGGGTGAATGGCTCAAAATCCTTTTGCTTAGCACCAGACCGCTTGAAATTCCCATCCCTGTTGTTCTCGACGCAGAGCAGTCGGTCCTCTGTCACTGTCATATTCAGAAACTCCACCATTTCCTTCAGCTTGGGGATGAGACTCTGCTTCAGGTCCTCGTAGTGGATGACGAGCAGGCGCTTCCCGTACTTCAGCCAGTCCAGGACGTGGGAGGCCCACCAGGATGCATAGCTGTTCACGAAATCGGGCCACTCTAGAGGACCAGAAAACCAGGAAAGTGAGACAATGTTAGCCATGCTGTGTTTCAACCATTTTCCAAATGTTATCTTGTGCAACAAGACTGGCGTTGCTGGACAAGGTCTGATATTGCAGGGTGGCGTGCGCTGGAGAAGTGCAGCATGGCCGGCTGCTGGGCTACGGCAGCGTGGCTTTGCAGCTTCTGGCACCGAGAGGGGTGATGCTCGACCCTGCTGCCCCCCAGTCGCCTGGACTGCTCCAGCCTCGTGGCCCTGCACAAGGCTGGGA